GGGGGGATTGTGGGGTATCACACTTCTCTCGGGATGGGGGGAAGGGGTGTCAAGGGCGGCAGCAGATTTGCTGACCTCACCATTAGCGGCTCTTTCTGGCGTATCGCCTAGCTCACTGATGTCACTGGTTGCTAGGAGCTCCCACTCAGCTCAGGGCAACCAGTGACGTCAGTGAGCTGGGCGGTACACCAGGCAGAGCGCCACAGTTAAGAGCTCATATAGGTGTATATATCGTTTAGTTCCACAAACGTTCATCCATTCACCAGTGTACCTTCCTTTTGCTCTTCTGCTGCTCAATTTTGCCCCTGGGAGCAGAGTAGAAAAATCCTGTGTAAGTTTTAAGCTACATACAGGTATTTTAGGCTTGTTGTCCATTAGAAGTGCACTGTATGAAACCTATGGGTTGTGTTAAGTAGTTAACAAGAGTATAACCAGACAGATGTTCAGAGGCCGGGACTGATCCAAAGAGGAAGCAATGACACCATGCGTAAGCAAGTGAAAGGGCACACATTACTACTATACAGTATTGTAAAAAGTTCAGGCATAAGTTGTGTTTTCCACATTCTTGTCAGTGATTTATACTCTGTGTTCATACAACTCATTTACATTTCTCTACTTTGTCAAGGTACATCTTTGAGAGTATTGGCAATAAAAGGATCCTGACCATTAACAACTGTTCTCTGGCAGACGATGCTGCTTATCAGTGTGTGATTGGAGAGGAGAAGTGCTTCACTGAAGTGTTTGTCAGAGGTTTGTATCCCTGGAAGAAGATTTTCAGAAGTTATTCATAAATATCAGCTGAATCATATGTTGCCTTTTCATTTTCTCTGGGAGTTTTAGCTGTAGTGTACAGTGTTGGACCAAACTATTTATCTTCAGGATTCTAGGCTGTAATGAAGATTGTGGGTCCAAACAATGTCTTCTTGTGAATCTTGGTGTAGTGTAGAATGTTGGACCAAACCATTTCTTTCCAGGAGGCCAGGCTATAGTGAAGAATGTGAGTCCAAACCATACAGCTAAGAGTGTTAGCTGTAAGGTGGCATGTTGGACCAAACCATTTGTTCCAACATGCCATATTCTAGCTGTAGTTTGGAGTACTGGACAACACCATTCTTTCCAGGTGTCCTGACTGTTGTCAGGCATGTAGTACAAATTACAGTGTTCATTATTTTCATGCTTACTTTAGGTTGAGTAAAGTGAAATTAAATAACATAAACTGCAAGTCATTGTAGTTTCCCTTTAAAATAATGTGAATGTGGCCTTTTGCCCGGCCTACTTTTAATCATTTACACTTTTTTTTTAGCTGTTATTATTGTGTCTTAATCTATTTACTAGGTCATCTTACAATAACCTCATTGGAGCACATTGATGTTTTTTCAATTTTTTTAAACACATATAATCAACATCCATACTGAAACACATATAATCAACATCCATACTGAAACACATATAATCAACATACATCTAAATATTACTGGCTTGTCAGTTCTGATGCTGGATGTAAACAATAACTGAACCCATGTGGATATTGCTGACATGTCATAATTTTCAGGGATGGCTGCAGGTTTAGAGAAATTGCTAAATGACACGCAAATGCAGCTGGACTTGGGGTGTTATTCTATTAATATTTAATTTTATGAATCAGAGTATATACAACAAAACACAACAGGGAAACCGGAAAGTATGAGACAATATATACAGTTATATGCTATATTAGTGACAATAGGAGTGCTAGCAACATCTATGAAAGCATGGCCCTCCTATGTTTAGGGTAAGTCTTCTACATTAGCGGAAAGGCCATGTGGGATCATTGTAGACTGTCAAGAATATCCAAGTGCCCAAATCACTGGCCAGGGTACCACACTCCCCAAATATGGATACCCTTTTGGGCATACTATAAAATGGAAAGAAGGAACAGGGGAACTAGAGAAAGAGTTGAAGTGAGGAAAAGGATGGGATGTGAAGTAAAAAATTGCGGCCATGAAAGGTAGGCCCCAGTTTATAAGAAAAAGGATAGAAATAAAAATAAAAAATAAAAAAGAGGAGAAAAGAGAGGGCCAAGGGCGTCACAAACCCCAGTGCTGACATGGTGAACAAAAGGCTTTATTAGAAAACATAGTCATATCATTCTTTTTTTCCAAGCAAATTTAACATAACCAGTCCAAATTTTTGGTACAAAGTCAATTTATGCATTTTGATTAAATCACTTTGCTCATTCCTACCAATAACATATGTGACTGAATGGGCCACTGAGTCTAGTTGTACATGGCAGGGGCTTTCTGTAACCTTACTGCTGTTTTACACTGTAACTGCCTTATTTGGCCACATTCTCTGCTGCTCTTATATATTGACCCCTTTCCTAGAACATACAATGAGAAACCTGTGCCTAGAGATGAGCAAAACGGCCTAGGTTCAATTAGCAGAGGGCTTGGCCAATCCTGTTTAAAATTCAGCAAACTCAGAGTTAGAGGTGAATACTATTATGAAATCTGTGGTGGGGGGAGATAAGTCCTGATAGTAAATTCTGCCATGGATGACATGTACCAATGCAAAAGAAAATGCATAAAAAAATACCCTAGAGCAGGGAGAAGGTCCTTTTTATGAGTGACCTGGAAAAATACAAATCCTTTAAATGATAGATTGCCATAAAGTTGTATGTGGTGTTACGAATCAGTACAATTTTCACAAACAGCGTCAGTGACAACATACAGTAATACCTTGGTTTACAAGTAACTTGGTTTGAGAGCGTTTTGCAAGACAAGCAAACATTTCTGAAAAATGTTGCCTTGATATACAAGCAAATGTCTTGCAATAAGAGCAAAATTTTGTAGAAAAGCACCACCCGAATAAGGCTGTAGCAGTGCGAGCGATGAATCTGTTTAACGACAATGCAATGTCACATTGGATAGATTCCTTGTTAAGGTTTCGCAAAATGAAAAATATTCCATTGAGTCAAGAGATAGCAGTGATTCCGTTAGTGATAGTGAAAGTCGTCCTGCACAAAGCTGTAGTTTGGAGTACTGGACAACACCATTCTTTCCAGGTGTCCTGACTGTTGTCAGGCATGTAGTACAAATTACAGTGTTCATTATTTTCATGCTTACTTTAGGTTGAGTAAAGTGAAATTAAATAACATAAACTGCAAGTCATTGTAGTTTCCCTTTAAAATAATGTGAATGTGGCCTTTTGCCCGGCCTACTTTTAATCATTTACACTTTTTTTTTAGCTGTTATTATTGTGTCTTAATCTATTTACTAGGTCATCTTACAATAACCTCATTGGAGCACATTGATGTTTTTTCAATTTTTTTAAACACATATAATCAACATCCATACTGAAACACATATAATCAACATCCATACTGAAACACATATAATCAACATACATCTAAATATTACTGGCTTGTCAGTTCTGATGCTGGATGTAAACAATAACTGAACCCATGTGGATATTGCTGACATGTCATAATTTTCAGGGATGGCTGCAGGTTTAGAGAAATTGCTAAATGACACGCAAATGCAGCTGGACTTGGGGTGTTATTCTATTAATATTTAATTTTATGAATCAGAGTATATACAACAAAACACAACAGGGAAACCGGAAAGTATGAGACAATATATACAGTTATATGCTATATTAGTGACAATAGGAGTGCTAGCAACATCTATGAAAGCATGGCCCTCCTATGTTTAGGGTAAGTCTTCTACATTAGCGGAAAGGCCATGTGGGATCATTGTAGACTGTCAAGAATATCCAAGTGCCCAAATCACTGGCCAGGGTACCACACTCCCCAAATATGGATACCCTTTTGGGCATACTATAAAATGGAAAGAAGGAACAGGGGAACTAGAGAAAGAGTTGAAGTGAGGAAAAGGATGGGATGTGAAGTAAAAAATTGCGGCCATGAAAGGTAGGCCCCAGTTTATAAGAAAAAGGATAGAAATAAAAATAAAAAATAAAAAAGAGGAGAAAAGAGAGGGCCAAGGGCGTCACAAACCCCAGTGCTGACATGGTGAACAAAAGGCTTTATTAGAAAACATAGTCATATCATTCTTTTTTTCCAAGCAAATTTAACATAACCAGTCCAAATTTTTGGTACAAAGTCAATTTATGCATTTTGATTAAATCACTTTGCTCATTCCTACCAATAACATATGTGACTGAATGGGCCACTGAGTCTAGTTGTACATGGCAGGGGCTTTCTGTAACCTTACTGCTGTTTTACACTGTAACTGCCTTATTTGGCCACATTCTCTGCTGCTCTTATATATTGACCCCTTTCCTAGAACATACAATGAGAAACCTGTGCCTAGAGATGAGCAAAACGGCCTAGGTTCAATTAGCAGAGGGCTTGGCCAATCCTGTTTAAAATTCAGCAAACTCAGAGTTAGAGGTGAATACTATTATGAAATCTGTGGTGGGGGGAGATAAGTCCTGATAGTAAATTCTGCCATGGATGACATGTACCAATGCAAAAGAAAATGCATAAAAAAATACCCTAGAGCAGGGAGAAGGTCCTTTTTATGAGTGACCTGGAAAAATACAAATCCTTTAAATGATAGATTGCCATAAAGTTGTATGTGGTGTTACGAATCAGTACAATTTTCACAAACAGCGTCAGTGACAACATACAGTAATACCTTGGTTTACAAGTAACTTGGTTTGAGAGCGTTTTGCAAGACAAGCAAACATTTCTGAAAAATGTTGCCTTGATATACAAGCAAATGTCTTGCAATAAGAGCAAAATTTTGTAGAAAAGCACCACCCGAATAAGGCTGTAGCAGTGCGAGCGATGAATCTGTTTAACGACAATGCAATGTCACATTGGATAGATTCCTTGTTAAGGTTTCGCAAAATGAAAAATATTCCATTGAGTCAAGAGATAGCAGTGATTCCGTTAGTGATAGTGAAAGTCGTCCTGCACAATAATCCTTCTCTCTTGTCCCCCTCACACCAGCCACGAAGGTACTGGTAATTGGTTTATTTTTCTTTATATTTTATACAGTATTATATTGCAGTACAGTATTGTAATCATTTTATATGAATATTTTTGGGTTGTGGAACGAATCATCTGAATTTCCATTATTTCCTATGGGGAAATTCGCTTTGATATACAAGCGCTTTGGATTACAAGCATGCTTCCGGAACGAATTATGCTCTTAAACCAAGGTATTACTGTATTTCAGCAGTGCATTTTGGCTGTGGAATCATTTTTTATTCCCCTGACCATTAGCTCGGCTTACATACAGCAGCAGTACCCCATTCTGGTTCCATTCTGCTTGAAAATAATGCCTTTTTTTCAGGTAGTTTTACAGCAAAATGTTTTTTTTTTATCAAACAGTAATAGGCCTGCTTTGACCAGTGAATATGAAACTCTTGAAGAACCAGAGGACGCTGATGATAAAGCAGTATAAAATCAGCAGGCATCAGCACAGTTTTAATGAGCAAGACTAGACCTAAATATAAAAGTAACACAGGGCACAGGCAAGTGTTTTACTTCAAGAATTAAGACACTGCATGTAATACAGCAGTGTAAAAATGGCAGCTGCAGGACAGTTGTAATAGGTATGATTAGGTTCAAATGTACTAGAGACAAAGGGCAAAAGCAGGTGTTCTACTACAAGAATTAAAATACCACATATAATACAGCAGTGTAAAAGTGGCCAGCTGCAGGACAGTTGTAATGAGGGATACTAGGCCTAACTGGTGTATGCCTAACCTTTATTTTTACTATGGGAACGAGGGGTGCAGTGAATGAAAGTGATATATTGTTGGGTGTTTAGGTGCACACTGCTCTTCCAATTATTTAATCTAAACACTCTTACTATAGTTGCATCCCTTATATAGTGAGGATAGCTTATCTGACTTATCCAAAGCCCCTTATTGACTCTTTAAAGCCTGCTGGCCATAATGTATAGGCCATACAGTGCCTTATGGTTAAAAAATTTTTAATTGGGTGGATTTGGACATCAATTTACTAGGACTGCGCATTTCAAACCTATAAGATTCCCATGGTAGTGAACCTACTTGTGCCCCCTGTTTTTAACCTACATAGTAAATAAATGCGGACACTATAATTTTAGCAAACACTAGGAACTATTACCACGCAACCAAGGCAGCAGTCAGTTAAAGGACCTTCTCTTTTTCCTTAAAAGCACTCTAATGGTAATTAAAATAAAATACTGTCTGGGGTTAGGCTTTACATACAATAGTCATGAAGCAATTTCAGTAATGTACTATCAATAAACTGAATAGCAGCTTGTAGGAATTGTAACCTGTCCTTTTGACTTTCAGAGCCCCCCGTTCTGGTTCTGCGACCTCTTGAAGATCAGGTGGTGACGGTGGGAGAGAGAGTGGAATTCGAGTGCGAGGTATCAGAGGAAGGCGCACAGGTGAGATGGTGAGTTGATCACTACTGAGAGTGGAAACCAGTAACCAACCATTTCATTGAAGCTGAACTCAAGGCAGATATAAAAGTCACATATTAATGCACCTCTGTATTAATTCATTAGTCATTAAATTTATTTTTTAACGCAACTAGTATAAGTACCTGAATTTGACTTCGTATAAGCTTCTTCTAATCCCCTGTTCAGCAACACTCAGGCTTGAAGAGATAGGAGCAAGCCAGGGAGCCATTCAGGTGTGCTGCATGCAGATGTGTTGACAAGGAACTTGCTGATAGCAGGAGAAAGCAACGGGCCACAACAGCTAACCTTCAGATCTTTGCGTGGCTGGATGCCATTTACACCCACCAATACATTGTTTTCATTTTGATAGGAAGGGTTGTAAATTTTTCCAATTTGGTAGCAGTCCAAAATAAGCAGTGTTTGTAATTGTGCTTTCTTTTTTATTTGTGTTTTAATGAGATTTATTTTTGTAGCCATTGCTAACCTCCTTATTAAAATGCTAGTCTTAGGTCCTGTGTCAGCAGGCTTTTGTCCACTGCAAGCAGGTTTTGCATTTCCATACAGGTCCCTTGAAGCAGGTCAAATGCAGGTCAGAATGAAGTCAGCTGCAGGTCATATACACCCGTCAATATATGATCTCGGAAGCATCTCAAACTGATGCCCTTAACGCAAGCCTAAAGGTCGTTGGCACAGGCCGTTATGGTGACCTAGTGGCTTTACCTTGGGGTTGATTTGCTAAAGGCAAAATGGCTGTTCACTTTTCAAGGGGACTTGCACTTTGAATTTTCCCTTAGCTTAGTGAATGAGGTGAAGCTCTGATGACGTCCATCACCCAATTGTGTGCAAGCAAAAATACTGTTTTTTTTTAATTTTCCTTGCTGGTGATTGGATATTAATTGTAAAGTGAGTTTTCCCCACATTCACTAAGCTGAGGGAAACTTCCCTTAATCAACCTCTTTGAGCCACTGTCACAGAACAGGTACACAGAAAAGAGAAGCAGCCCTCCTTACTCCTAAAAGGTGCAGCTAAGGCAGACTATGCAGCGCTGTTACTGATATGCAAATGTTGACTTTTTGTCAAAAGTCGACAGCGAAGTACTGATCTCCATTTCTAACCCTTCCCACTGACTTACCCATGTAGAGAGCAGTGACATGATTGTCACAGGAAGGACTTAGGTCTCTGACATTTAGGCTATGATTGACAGCTGGGTTTTACCTTTCCTTTACTTGGCGCCTGTTGGGTTATAACTGGATCTCTGGGGACAGACTGGAGCAGAGTTTTTGTTCACTGATTATGCAACAGCGAGTTGCTTATAAGATGAATAGTTCATATGTAACAGCAGCTTTTGTAGACATTGGCCAGAGAAAGGGCTTGCTTTAATTAAGCTCATCATCTTGGCAATTGGACCTTCCGTGTCTTCCAACCGTCACGTCTTCTTGACAATCTGCCACTTTGCAACTGGAGCTTACACTTGTTAATCATGTTTACACCCTATCTCTTAATTATGACTGGAAGCCATTGCCCATCTCTTTTAGGCCATGGAGCAGCGCTCACATTCCAGAGAAATAGTCCTACGTGTCTCTGAGGAAGTGTTGGCATTTTAACAAACCTTCTTACAGCCTTATAATTACAACAGGGGATTGGTTTCAGCATTAAAATAGCACCTCTCTGGAGAGGACTAACTGATCCCAAACTAAACTTGTAAAAGGGAGGGGGATTCCATCTCAGCTATGTCATCTCACAGCTGCCAAAGTGTGTCTCCAGGAATCATAGGCTTAGAGTGATAGGTGCTGCTGTGTCAGCAAAGTCCCCTGTGAAAGGCACCTTGAATAGACCCCCAGGACCCCCTACAGTTAGACACTCATCCAGCCAGTGTCTGTCACTAGGGTTGACAAGAGATATGTTATCGCTTCCACGTCGGGACCTGCAAATAAGGACATAGTGTGCTTCCCTATGGGATACTGTGTCAGCTAAATTTAGCTGGATCCAATGGAGAAGGTATAAAACCAGCACACCAACATGCTCGTCAAAAGCCTTTATTTGTCACTTCAAGAAATGGGACATTTCGGACCGTGGCAGGCGGTAGTAACCTTCCTGATGAAGGGGTCTTGCTGGTACCCCAAAACATTCTATTTCTTGATGTAACAAATAAAGGCTCTTGCCAAGCATGTTGGTGTGCTAGTGATGTACCTTCTCCATTGGACCTGTTGAGCTGTTGAGGAGATTTCTTCTTGCTTCCTATCAAGAGAAGAAGTGATAGGATTCTCTTCTAATGGGGCACTAACAAAATCAAGGACAGGAACTGAATAAAAATGAGATCGATTGTTTCTGCAACCCCAAGGGGAAAGGGGGTGGGTGTTGGACAGAGATGTAATTCCCCGGTAATGTGACCAGCTCCGCCGTGACAATGCCGGGTCCTAGCAGTGCATCACTGTGTGTGGAAGAGCAAGGATCTGCCAGTGAGTGGTAGTAAGGTATGTATATTGAACATGAACCCTTTAAAAACTAAGCAGCTGTGTGTGTGACCAGTCCTTTATCTCAGCAAGTCCTAACTTATCAGGTTCAAAGCAGTTTCAAAGCTGAAAAACCCCTTCATCTACCAGAGTACAATAGAAGCTCCATCTATTCTGCTTTATGTAATCTGTGCTGTTAATTAATACGATGTGGTGGAATGGGTGGGTGGAGAAGCTGGAAAATGGACTTCAACAGCCACTCTGCAAAGGCATGGTAGGTAGGTCAACATATTTTAGATTGTAAGACCTTACCATCTTGTCTTGAATTGTATTGTGATTGTAATGTCTTCCTTATATTGTAAAGCGCTGTGCAAACTGTTGGCGTTATATAAATCCTGTATAATAATAATAATATAGGGGCTTGTGCTATTTTTCACTTTGCCTCTTTCTCAACATTTCACATTTTCTTGATCTCTGGAAGTATTATAAGTCTATGGCTGGCCAGAAAGACAAGTAGCATTTGTTGACATACCTCAAGTCTCATGACATGACCCTTTCCATTCTTTGCATCTGTAAACAAAGTCGGATTACCCACCAGGAAAACTAGGCAAGAGCCTAGGGTCTGGTGCTTGTTCTGGGGATCCATCTACAATCTTCATGCTCCTGCAGCACAAATGGTCGAAGCTGTGTACCTGCCTGTTATCTCAAAAGGGGAGGCTGAACTTGTAGACAATTGGTGTCTGATAGGACGAGCTTTGCCTGTAAAGGCATTGCAAATTGCTTGGCCTCTCTGTGCTTACTGTAATCCTTATTAATGCCAATGGAGGTAATAGAGCAGCCAACACTGCTATCTTGCATGGAGCCTCAGCCTGACTTAATTTGTCTCTCCATGTAGATATTCCAGCTGCTGCAACCTGACAGCGTGTAGTTGGGTACACACAAAGTAGCAGAAGACTGCAGTTATTTGCATTAGCACATTCTACATTCAGTGAACTATACCTGTTCATCAGGTTACTTTTTGAATTGTATTTCTGACCATACCAATTCACTACTTTGAGCATCTGACCATGTCATTTTTTCCTTTGGAAATGTTTGTTTAGTATTCAGGACTTCTACAGTAGTATGAACACATGTCAATTCCATCTCTGCACTTGTTTTACAACTGTCATATATAATTGAAATTTGAGCTTCTGTTTGAACACATGCTAGTGTTAGAGTGCCACCTACCAGGCAATAGCATATTAGTGCATCTTCATATATAAGTGTATGAGTGCCAACCAGCTGGCTGAAGAAAGCCAATTGCATGCAATAAGGGGTGCTGATTTATTTTCGTATAGTTACTATTTTTGACATTTCATCACATTTAGCCTTGGGATTCCTATAGCTCTGCATCTCCATGTTGAAGCTTGTGATTTTCCAAAATTTGCAATTCAGTAAATGTTATGCAGCGTTCAATGTTTATGGAAATGACACCGCACAGAAATGCTTACTAAGGAAAATACTAACTCAGCCAGGTGTGAGTTGGTTTATTCCCTAGGCACAAACATACATGGATTACCAAATGTGGATTAACCAATTTATGCCTGGGTGCTGTGTTCAGCCCATTGGTTGGCACCTTAAATGGAACTGAAGTTTTTGGGTGGAGGTTGTCATTAATATGATGATACCCATGAATTGCATTTTATCCAGCAGGTTAGCGGCTGAATGTGTCACAGCTTATTATGCTGACAATCTTCAAACTATCTTTTCTACAGGGAGAAGGATGGAGTGGAGCTGACCAGGGAAGAAACCTTTAAATACCGCTTTAAGAAAGATGGAAAGAAGTATTTCCTTTTTATCAATGAGTCTACACTGGAGGACAGTGGCTACTACACCGTCAAGACCAATGGAGGAGAGTCTGTGGCTGAGCTGATGGTGCAAGGTGAGTGCCAGTGGTTGAGGGTCCGACTGAGTGTCAGGATTGGTGATGGTGGGTATATTACAGTTTACTGACAGCTAGCTTTTGTAGGGGGTAGAAAATCACACTACACCAAAACCACTATTATGGGATTTCGGCAGATCAGCCTTTACTAACCAGGGTGCCGTGGTACCCTAAGGGGAGCCTTGAAGTTATTAGACAGCGTCATGCCTCTGATGTGAATAGGACTCCTTACGTGAAGGGGGCTCCAGATGTGAAAAAGGGGTACACTGATGTGAAAGAGGGGGACTGTGATTTGAAGAGGGGCTTCTGATTTAAAAAAGGGACTTCTAATGTGAAGGGGGGCCTGATGAAAAAGAAGGGGACTCTGATGTGAAAGATTGGGACTCTGATGTGAAGGGGTCTTATGATGTGAAAGAGGGGGACTCTGATCTGAAGAGGGGCTTCTGATGTGAAAGAGGGGACTCTGATGTAAAGGGGGGCTCCTAATGTGAAAGAAGGGGACTCTGATGTGAAAGAGGGGCTTCTAATGTGAAAGGGGGGAGCTCTGATGTAAAGGGGGACTCTGATGTGAAAGGAGGCTGCTAATGTGAAAGGACTCTGATGTGAATGGGGGAACCCAACATTTTTTGTGTGTTTTTGCATGGGATCCCCCCAAAAATCCATACCCGAGCATATCTAGGATTAGGGTCTGGTATGGATTTTGGAGTGACCACACATGTTGTTCTGTATTTTTACATTTACAGTTTTTACATTTTAGATTGGGGTGTCTCAAGATTTTACATACTTTTAAAGAGTGCCGTGACTGAATGTAATGTTATCGTGTCCCCTGCACTTCCATACAACGTACAGACCTGGTGCTTGAAGTGATAACACGGATGGCGCCATTTTGTGGTAAACTTGATAGCAGAAATCACCAGCACTCAAATGTATGCATGAAGTATAGATGCTTTTATGTACTCGTCACTTGTGTCACCAAGCCAACCTTTCGGGCTACACAGGTTCCCTTCCTCAGGGCGACATAGTGACATGTTGCCCTGAGGAAGGGACCCTGCGTGGCCCCGAAACGTTGGTGACACAAGTGACGAGTACATAAAAGCGTCTATACTTCACGAATGCATTTGAGTGCTGGTGATTTCTGCTATCAAGTTTACCACAACATGGCGCCATCCGCGTTATCACTTCAAGCACCAGGTCTGTACGTTGTATGGAAGTGCAGGGGACACGATAACATTACATTCAGTTACTGTGCCTTGTTGCACAACACAAAAGCATGAATAGGTGCTTAGTGAATTTCTAAAGAACCCATAGCTGCAATAAATGCTGCTTTGTTAATCTATCTGGTGCAGGGAATAGTAAACATTTAATCAAACAGCCAGTCTGCATTTTGAAGAGCCAAGAAGAAATCCCTAAGTAAGGCTAGAGACCCCACTTAAGCCTAGGATTTGGCTTGGCAGGCACTCGATAATGCATCATGGAAACATATGGTGACAGTCACATGCTCCTCAATGCTTAAAAATCTCACTTGACTCTGGTGTGTTATTAGCAGGGTGGCTTTTTGCTGTGAAGGTAAATATCAGCAGGAGCAGAGGAGAGGGCTTCCAATTAAATCTGTTGCTTTTCCCAGAATGGGCAAAATACAGGTTCTCTTTAAAGTGGTGTTATATTTATCCATAGAGAGCTTTGGGAGGGGAGAATGATTATAGTGTTATAATGTACAAACTCTTAAGAATCTGTTCATAAAAATTTGCATATCTTATTTGTTCAGCAAAACTGCATGTAAATTTGTTCTGTGCGAGTTAACAAGCTGTGTGAGAGTGGCGCAAAAACTAATATTCTTTTCTCTTCTGGTTGAATGTATTTGAAAAGGCTCAGTCATACAGAACAGAGTGAATGTGGAAAGTACCATGTTATGGCCACTAGAGGGAGCTGGGGATCATAGGAAATATGGACATGTTAGTAATGAGATTCAATGCATTTATTTCCTATGACCCTTAGCGCCATCTAGTGGCCATAGTGTGGTACTTCCCCATTCACTCTGTTCTGCATGAATTAACCTATTGAAGTACATTCGGCCAGAAGAGAAAATACACAAAGAACATTCGTTTTTGCCCCATTCTCATAACAGCTGAATAACTTGCAAAGAACGCATGTACCTGCAGTTTCACTGAACAAATAAACTATGCCTATTTTTTTAAACAGAGACCCTTTAGAGCAGTGGTTCTCAACCTGTATAACCTCAGGACCCACATTTGTCCTTGATCATTAAGTCGCAACCCAAGTCGTACCGCACTGGTTCCACAGCATTGCGGTACTGCATGTTCTAGTGCAACCGATCAAACTGTGGGAAGGAGGTGTGTTTGGGGTGCTATTCAAATGAATAGCAAGGCAATGCACCTCCCGCACCACAACAAACTAGGCAGCATATTTTGAATGGCTCCTCGGCATGAGAACTGACAGTGCTGTGCTATAGGGGAGGCTGAGGAGCCTCTCACCTAGTGCACTGGAAGGCATGCGGCGACCCACTGAGCATGGGGTCACGACCCACCAGTTGAGAACCACAGCTTTAGAGTACACGTACACGGTCATCATAGTACTACTCGGTGTAAGGAATTGGAGATTGATTAACATTACATAGTGTAAACTCTTGAGGCACACAGCAACATTATAGAGTGACCGCTCTTGTGTGACACAGCATTTGATGCTATAGATCAGGGGTAGTCAATCTTCGGCCCTCCAGCTGTGGTGAATCTACATCATGAATCTACCTCTTGAAGTGGCTGTCAGAGTCTTGCAATTCCTAATAGGATTTGTAGTTTCACCACAGCTGGATGGTCAAAGTTTGGCTACGCCTGCTATAGAGAATAGGCTCTTGGAGCACACAGTGATTATCACTATTGAATGTAGGCTGCTGGAGTTCTGTTGAACCTCTTGATCCCATTGTACACTCTTGTTAGCCTGCATTGTCAGACATTGTATTGTCAAACACCTGTTTTGGTATGTGTGGTATAAGAAGAGTTGATGTTCTATGTAACCTTCCATATCTCCTTTCCAGCAAAGCAGCTGGAGGTTCTGCAGGGAGTGGCGGACCTGACCGTCAAGGCCAAGGAGCAGGCCGCCTTCAAGTGTGAGGTGTCCGACGAGACTGTCACTGGAATATGGGTGAAGAACGGAAAGGAAGTGGTTCCCAACGACAGGATCAAGATCACCCACATTGGAAGGTTCGATCAGAGCTCACAGTCTGAACATTAGTCCAACCAACTATCTCAAATATGCTCGTAATGCACAGAGACAAAATTAGCCAAATCTCAAACCTTGCCCAATGCAGGAGACACTGAGGGACAGGTTTATGATTTTGTTGGGTTCATGACCCTAGGCTTTTCCCCACCTGAGGAAAGTGGGTGTGAGGTTCCAGTGATGCATGTTGGTGGTGCACGTTCAGGAGGAAGGGGGTGTTGGTGGTGCACGTTTTGGGGGGTACACCGGCCAAAGTGTCCTGCTCACCTTCTGGCAACCAGTGACGTCAATGGTTGTCAGGAGCTGACCAAGACACTAGCCAGAACATCAAAGGTTGCTAAGAACTGGATGAGGAGATGTGTATGGCCCTTACACATCTCCCCACCCACCCCTTAGCAACCTGGGATTCTGTGGCCGGAACTGAGGCGGCGGGCACACGGCCATGCTACTCTGCCTGCTGCCCCACCATGTGACCCAAAGAGACAACACCCTCTGGCAGCCTCATTATAGGAATGGCCCTGGTCGGGTTCTTTACTTTTTTTTTACCCTTACCATTTATTTTATTAAAACAAAGAAACCTACAAATATACTAAAACCTATTGCATTGGTTGTTGAAGTGAACCTTTGCTCCATTTTAGACTTTTAAAAGTAAAAGTCCTTCCTACAGCTAGAAATACGCATTACAATGTGTGTTACAGTGTACTATCTGGTTGTGCAATCTCTATATGATCTCCTTTAGATTTACCAAAACTGTAATGTGAAGGCATGTCTATACAATCAATGAATTTGTATCGAGCCATGTGGGCCCTGTGTTATAACCATACTACATAAAATGTGTTGCCAAATTTAGAGCAGACACCTTTAAATTCCCTATCTTATCTTCTGTGCCCCTCTCTGATTTGGTTTGACTTTGTTACTGGGATCAAGCTGGGCTTCATATCTAACCTGACACCTCCCCTCCAATCCAATTAATAATTGTGCCCTGTAGGGTTTGGCCATGAAGTCAGAAAGAGTCAGAACCCAGTTGCAAAATAATTGTCTCTTTTGATAGTAATGGTTAAAATGAGCATACATGGGGGGTGGGGGGGGTTGATATATAACCCTATACACTGGGCTGCGATGTATGACACTGCTGCCACTAGATGGCACTGAGGAGCATAAGAATTTCCTATGCTATTTATAAGTCAACCCCTATGTAAAAGTGAACCTGTTATAATGGAAATGTGGCAGCTGCCATTGCTGACTTTCTTTTTTAGAAGTAACCTGTTCCCTGTCTGTCATGCGTATCCTGTGGCTTTCTTTACTCAGTCACTGAGGCAAATAAAGCATTCAGGTTGGGACAGTTTACTTCCCTCGCTGCATACTTGTTCCAAGCCAGTGACTCGGTAAGAAATGAGGCCATTGGATGAGAATGACAGCCAGGGAACTAAAAACACAGCAGTGACAGCACTCATGCCTCTATGATGACCGTGCTGCCTTAAACATCACCATAAGCACCGTATTGTGTTGTATAACGTGTTTCTGTAAACTGAATCCTTATCAATGTGTTTCCTCTGGCTGCAGGGTGCACAGACTGACCATTGACAATGTGGTGGCCTCAGACGAAGGAGACTATTCCTTCATTCCCAATGGATTTGCCTTCAATCTTTCCGCCAAACTGCACTTTATGGGTGAGTTCGTCTATCACAGTTCATTCACTGACAAAGAAATCTTTATAAACTCTTAGATCTTACCTTAAAATGGAAATTCAGACAGAACTAGCGTAGGGAGAATATATTTTTACTTCCTGTCTTGGTGACCACGCAGGAGGTAAGGGGAAATCTCCACAGTGGAGTCACAGACAGCAATATAAACTTGACACTTCTCACTCTTCTACAATGTGGCTTCATTGCTATCTGAGCACCCTTTATTTATATTTTGTTTCTTTATTATGATCAGGATCCGTTTTTTTGTAATTCCTTTTTGTAGTCAGGTCAATATAAAATATTACATCGGAATATTATATAGTTGTCTATCAAGCCAGCAGGTGGCGCTATAGGCTCATTTTCACATTTTTCTCTGTCTCATTTGCTCCATTGTTGTGAAAGGATTCATGTGAAAAAGTTGTTGTGAAAAGAAAGTTGTTTAGAGACCTCAATAGCCCAAGCTTAAAAGAGCATTGGTTCATCTCATATCCCAGCACCTGTTACTCCGGTTTCCATGCCTCCACCCTACCAGTGCACCCCCTTGAGGCCCTCCAGCAGTATTTCATCCACTGGCTTTTGGCAATCCAGGATGCTGCTCTTTGCCTTAATACACTGTGAGTGACTGGTGGAGAGTGGTGTCATCAAGCCTTGCACTCATGGTCTTCCTGGTTGAGCGACGCTGGGCATCATTCAACCTGGAAGACTGGACATCTTGTGGTGAAAAAGAGGTACTGCAGGGCACATCTCCAGACAACACAGGAAGACATTACAAAAAACAATTATCCTAGAATTGGGTGCTAAAGTGAGAGGTGCCAAATAATATTTTTTGTGGACATCTTATACAGATTGCCCCTAGGAGGCTCCCTTGCAACTAATCCATGCATGCCCAACTGACAGACAGACTTGGAACTTTGTGGTGGCATAATCCCAATGGGGATTATCCTACTTGACTTGAAAATGCATTGGAGCCTCCCAGGAAGGAGCTGGACTTTGTATCCTATATATCTGAATCCAATAAACCAATGAATAAATACAAGTCTGTTTAATTACATAAGTTTCATCATTTCTTTCTTCTTTTCTGCCCTTTTCTCTACCAGAGGTGAAGATCGACTTTGTGCCCAGACAAGGTAAGGGAAATCAAAAATTTACTGACTTGTGTGTAAGCCCCTTTGTGTGTAACATATGAATGAAAGAGAATAAGTGAGATGACACTTTGTGGCCTGAGTTGGATCATCAGAATTCAAAGAGAATTCTCTAATTATGTATTTAAATATCTTTTCCTCCCACAGAGCCACCGAAAATTAAACTGGATTGCGGTTCTGGAAATGCTGACACCATTATTGTGGTTGCTGGCAATAAACTGCGTCTTGATGTTCCTATCACCGGAGATCCGGCGCCAACTGTGATCTGGAGCAAAGGAGATAAGGTAAGGACGGGATATGTTTTCCTCGCTACTTAAAGTGGACCAATGATAACGATTTATTTAGAATTTGGAGGCAAACAGTTTCCATGAGAGCCAGTCACATGATCTTCAGCTAGTCCGGCTGGTTATTGGGGGCTGCACAGACTCCTATCCTGGCTCAGGTTTTTATTAAAAAAGTCACAGTTGCCATTTTGTTACTGATTTAAGTTACCGTAACATAAGCAGAGCACTATATACTGAAAAGTGATAGAAGGTCCTTTACAGAAAGATGGCGATTTTATTCACCTTTATCCTGAACAATGAAAGTTACTCTCTGATTGGTTGCTATAATCTCACATCTTGCCTTAACAATTGGAGTTTTACATTAAAGTTGAAGCCCACCTTTAATAAACAAAGAAAATAATAAATGCTCACAAAATCATAATAGAAAGGCATGTGCATTAGAAATAGAATGTGCATTTATTATTTTTTGCTTTGGAACCAGTAAAGCATTGGGTTTTCGATGTGACCATGTTTCATCTTACACCCTAAATAAGGATACAGTACGAAAGGGATAAAATCCACGTCAGTTTATCTAAGTCCTGTTGGGACATTTCCCTTTATTTCCTCTCCTGAGTGTGTACTGTTGCGCAGTGGTGTATCCAGGGTACGACACATATGGCACATACCCTGGGCGCCACATGAAGGGGGGGCACCGCTCTGTGGGTCAGCGAAAATCAGCTGACCCACGGAGACAGATTACTTTTTTTCTCTCCCATACACATCTCTCTGCCCGGCTCATAGCCACCAGGGATGCTCTGGCTGGCGTCCCACCCAGCTCTTGGGAGCTAGTGACCTCATTAGTCGCCAGGAGCAGGGCGAGATGCTGACCAGAGCGTCCCAGTTTTCTAAGGGCAGGGAGATGAGTATGGGCCATGAACATCTCCCCGCCCAGTTCTTAGCAACCTGAGATGCTCTGGCCGGTGTCCCGCTCCAGCTCCTGACAACCAGTCATGTCAGAGGCGCAATTTGTTGTAGATACGCCTCTGCTCAACAGGAAGTGAGAGGAAATCTCTCCAAAGTGAAGGGAATTCCCCTTTTAGGCACTTGTCATACCAACAGGTTTGCCCATTAGGAGATTTACCCTTAGTTCTGGTGACAACTGTAAAATTTTGGGATCTCCTTCACATTCCGTCTTGGTGATAACAGTCACCCAGACAAATAGCAAGGGTGAGTCTTCCCACCCAGACAGCAATAAAAACTTCCAAGAGGTTCTAACCCTTCATTACTACTGCTGGAAAATTCAATACTACCCATGCAGTGGGGTTCTTCCCCCATACTGCAAGGGGTAAATACTTTTTTGTTTAGGATACCATTAAAAAGCAGTTTTACTTACATTGCCCCCCAATCCCCCTGCCACCCAATGCTCTCCACCTTCTTCCGATGCTTTGGCCATGGGCATGCTTTTGGCGTCCTTACTTAGTTTGTAGGTGATGACATGACAGAGCACCAAAGAGAAGCGAAGAGCAGTGGTCTGGGGAGACCTGAGGTAGTGAGGGGCAAGGGAAGTAAAACTGCATTTAAAGGGACTCTAGACAAAAAACGAGCACCTAACCTTTACAGAAAAGGAGGAGCCCCACTGCAAGGTTAGTTTTGCATTTTCTCCAGAGTTCCACTTTAATGTTATACCAGCAAGTCATTTTGGTGTCACCCCTCTGAAAAGTCGGGCATGACAGCTGCACGAGAAAGGAGGGGACCCGACGGATGAATGTCCCCTACTCTCTTTGCCGGCATTCATCACCAAGATGCCCACCAGCAGGGAAGTGCACATGACATTATGGCGCGCATGCGTGATGACATCACATGTATACGTATTGACGTGTGCACCAGGTGACGTCCAGCGGCCACACCGGGTGACACCCTGCCTGGTGTTGCCCCTGATACCTGCAAGACGTTCTAGACTACCTGACAGACAATAAATATCTGAATATCCCCCCCCCCCCCCATACCTATCCTTCCCTGCGTCTCAGCTCTGTTTTCCACAATCAGGTCATTCAGCAGAGACCTGTCAGGACTGGCAGTGAGTCTGAGCTGGAGATGAACGAGGATGTGGATGTAAGTGGCATCTTTCCTCTCCAGTGCCTTGAAATACAAAGTCACATTTACTTATCCCACTTGTGAACCGTCCTTTGTGTGATCACGTACAACTTACCACCACCTTTGCATTGCTGGTTAACTTCACGTGTGTGCGTGTGGGGGCAGCACAAAGAATATTTCTAACTTGGCATTTCCTCAATGTATTTGTAACAGTGTTATATATTGGGTCAATATGCAGCCTATAGTTCATTGTGAAAAAGTGACCTCAGGATATTATGCATAGTTCCTACTGACTTATTTTTTTCTTTTAGATAGAAAGGGGAAAAAATAAAATTTTATCTGTGACCCCACTGGGGAGATTTTCCCATATTTTCTGAACCTGTGACACCGGTCATCACTGGGACAGGAACAACAATAAAAACTTTATTAGAAGTTTTAAAGCTGATTAGTCAGCTTAGATTTTTGCCTGCCCTGGTTCCTCTCCCTTTCATGGACGTGCTAATTAAATTATTATTATACAGCATTTATATAGCGCCAACAGTTTGCGTAGCGCTTTACAATATAAGAAAGAGTTTACAATTCAAGACAAGATGGTAAGGAGGGCCCTGCCCCTGAGGGCTTACAATCTAAAAGGAAGGGCAAGTGATACATGAGGAGGTAGCTGTGTAGGGATGAATTATTTGAGAGCGTGATGGTTGAGCGGTTAGGTTGAGGTGTGATAGGCTTCCCTGAAGAGATGAGTCTTCAGGGATCACCTAAAGGTAGTCAGAGTGGGAGACAGACGAACAGGTTGGGGTAAAGAGTTCCAGAGGATGGGAGAGACTCTAGAGAAGTCTTCAAGGCAAGCATGGGACGAGTTGACGAGGGAGCTAGAAAGCAGAAGTTCTTTGGAAGAGTGGAGGGGACGGTTAGGGTGATACGTTGAGACATGGTTGCAGCTATAGCCCGGGTGATGGTTCAGTGGTTAGGTTGAGGTGGGATAGGCTTCCCTGAAGAGATGAGTCTTAAGGGATCGCCTAAAGGCAGTCAGAGTGGGAGACAGACGGACAGGTTAGGGTAAGAAGTTCCAAAGAATGGGGGAGAAATGATCAAATAAGATCTTTCCGCTTTCATTACATACCCTATTTTAGATCCAGTGCTGAGCTTCGTAGCATGTCCTTTGTACATGGGTGCATCTGTTAAAACCACTTCCCATATTGTTGGGGCAAAAGATTCTACACTACATACAGTACAGGGATGCTTAGACAGAACCATCTGGACCACCCCTGGGGGCAAAAGATTCTACACTACATACAGTACGGGGATCCTTAGACAGGACCATCTGGACCACCCCTGGGGGAAAAATATTCTACACTACATACAGTACGGTGATCCTTAGACAGGACCATCTGGACCACCCCTGGGGGCAAAATATTCTACACTACATACAGTACGGGGATCCTTAGACAGGACCATCTGGACCACCCCTTGGGGCAAAAGATTCTACACTACATACAGTACAGGGATCCTTAGACAGGACCATCTGGACCACCACTGGGGGCAAAAGGTTCTACACTACATACAGTACAGGGATCCTTAGACAGGACCATCTGGACCACCCCTGGGGGCAAAAGATTCTACACTACACAGAGTACAGGGATCCTTAGACAGGACCATCTGGACCACCCCTGGGGGCAAAAGATTCTACACTACATACAGTATGGGGATCCTTAGACAGGATTATCTGGACCACCCCTGCGGGCAAAAGTTTCTACACTACATACAGTACGGGGATACTTAGACAGGATTATCTGGACCACCCATGGGGGCAAAATATTCTACACTGCACACAGTATGGGGATACTTAGACAGGATTATCTGGACCACCCGTGGGGGGCAAAAGATTCTACACTACATACAGTATGGGGATCCTTAGACAGGACCATCCAGTCCATCGCAACAAGCGGGGAGTGCGACCATTTTGTGCGGAGACAGTCATATTCTACACAAGCCCTTCACTCGGGTTGTTTGATCCCTTTACAGGTGATACACCTACCTCACAGATGTGAGTACTATATTCTGTATCTTCTCTGGTTACAACTTACATAGCTGATCCACTTTTCAAAAACCAATAAGGGTCTCTCCTGTGGCCTTTTCCCTCCCCATCGTCTCTTGTCTCCATTTTGTTGGTATCCAATTTTCAACAATTCTAAGGAGCACTTCTACACTGACCACTTATGTTAGGGGTCACCACAATTTTTACTGTCTGCATTTCCTTTCTGTATTTATTATTCATTTAATTTAAAAATGATACTAAAAACGTTGTTGTACGGAGCAAAAGGGCGTAACAAATTATCTGCCCAGGGTTTCAAATATACTTGATATGCCATATTATGTATTCTTATGTTTACCTTTAGTGATCACACTGTTCCACAAACTGTGGTTTGAATTAGTTTTAGTAGGGGTTCCCCTAAAAAAAATGAAGGCTTCCTCTAGGGTAAAAAACGTTGAAAAGGCTTCTCTAAAACATAAAAAAAAATGTAACAGGGAGAGTGGGCATCCCTTATAATGGCCACAGTAGGGGTGCAGACCCAGGATCTCTCTTGCAAAGGTCTGCCAAAACCTGAAACATTGGTTGTGGATTGACTGACTTTCTAATTAAAGGCTTCGAGGACCTAACCTATGAAGATGGATTAAAAGAGTCAGATCTATTTATGCTTAAGAAGGGATATGATCACTATCTATAAATATATAATTGGTAAATACAAAAATACTCCAGCTGCCTAAAATGAATCCTAAATGTCACCACAGAAGAAAAGAAAACCCCCTTCACAGTTATGAAAAATGAAAATTGATTTTTTTTCTTGCCCTATGACTAGATTTCCCATCCCTTCCTGGTGTGGTGAAAGAGGGTTTTATATACTGTATATATAGTCCTAAATGTTATATATTTATAGTCCTAAATCCATGTTAGGCCTCATTCACACGGGTAATGGCCGGCTCGTACAGATCCATGCAGCGTGCACGGCCGTATCGTGCCACTCCCGGGAAGGACAGGTGCTGCATGTGATTGTACTCAGCAGCCTGTTCTTCTCTATGGGAGTACGCGTCCGTACACTCACCCAAGCTGCACATCTGTGCCGGTGTCCGTACTCATACGCAGACAGGATGGATCCTGTCTGCGTCCAAGCACGGACACCCGCACCCACAAGGATGTGCAGTTCGGGTGAGCGTACGGTGGCGTTCAGTACTCCCATAGAGAAGAGCAGGCTGCTACGTACAATCAAATGCAGCACCTGTCCTTCCCGGGAGCTGCCCGAAACGGCCATGCATACCTCATGGATTTTTACGGGCCGGCTCTTAGCAGTGTGGATGAGGCCTTAAAGGGGTTCTAAACCCTCTGGTTTTTTTGCCTATATCTACTGCTGTCAAGCAGTAGATATAGGCAAAAAGTTTAAAGAAAAACAGAAAACGCGGTTTAAACTTACCTTGTTTTCGCTGCGCGCTCCCGCCCCAGTATCCGAAACTGCTCAGGCGGCCGCAAAGCATCTTGGGGCGGGCGCATGCGCAGTTCAGATTCTCGGCCAGTAGATGAGGAGAGACGCAAGGTAAGTCTATGGACGCGTGCACCCGCATGCAGACACCGCTGGATCGGAAGTTCCTGCAAGCAGAGGGGAGTCAGCGCTGTATCGGAGAGCCGCTGCACCGCTGGAGGGACAGATGAAAACATCAGGAAAGAAGAGGAAGATCAGATTAAGAGACCTCATTTAAGGTAAGTGCTAACATTAACATTGGGGGAGGGGGAAAAGATATCCTTTAATGTCACTTTAATATTTGTCACTGATTTTGGCTACAAATGCCTTCAAGTATCTTGTTCTCACTGTGAAAATACTGCTGTCCTCACACTGCGGTCTGTTGTGATAGCAGAGCTGAGTAGCAGCCACACCCCTCTCTACAAGTGTCCACACACAGACTTGTATTGCAGAGAAAGGGAGGAGGTGTATCTGACCAGGTCTACTACTGAGTTCCGATTACTGAGAGCACTAGGTCTAACTCTGGTGACTTTTGGATTCCACAGTCATATTTAGTAGGGCTGTGAAAATTAATGATTAATTTCTCGATTAATCGTTAAACTTTTTAATCGATTAAAATTATTTTGATCGCTAATGAGAACACTCACTTCTCCGCCGGCTTCCGGGAGTCCCGTTGGCGATCGGACATCGACGTCACCGGACTCCTCCCCCCTTCCCCAAGTGGCTCCGTTGGCTAACGAAGGGAAGGGGGGAGGAGTCCGTTCCGGAGTCCGGTGACGTCGATGTCCGTGACGTCACCGGACTCCTCCTCCCCCTTCCGTTAGCCGACAGAGCCACTTGGGCCGGTGAGTTTGCCCAAGAAACTTTCTGCACGAGCGCCAGCCAAGGCATTGGCCTATACACATACAGCTCAGCAATGAAGTAATAAAATGAACTAGGATCACACTAATCCAGCACGTTATTAATCTCACGTGCCCCACTCAAGCGGCGGCCATATTGAGTGGGGCACGTGAGATTAATAACATGCTGGATTAGTGTGATCCTAGTTCATTTTATTACTTCATTGCTGTGCTGTATGTGTATAGGCCAATGTAGTTGGATCTGTATGTGCGTTATAATTAATCGAAATTAATCGATTAATCAATTGAAAAAAATTTCGATTAATCGAACACAAAAATTTTAATCATTACCAGCCCTAATATTTAGTCTTCCTACACATCTGCTGTAACAGGAAAGTGGAGGTAAGACCAGGAAAATGGAGGTTGCTAGTATATGATTATATATCTGTTTCTGTGACTTTGATTGGACTTTAAATAGGTTTTTGCTTAATTAGGACTCACAGAAAGGTATCCCTTATATTTTTTCCACAGCTGTGCCTGATCGTAGTGTACACCAACCACTGTGTTCTTGTTGTGTCTGCTGTATGTGTGTTTCTTTCCGCAGTGAATGTGAGTTTCTGTGTAATGATCTGCGGGCTAACACTCCAGAATCCTTTTAGCTTATTTCAGAAACTGACGGCAGAGTTCATGTGGAGACCCACGCCGACCACTGCGTCTTCATCATTGAGGGTGCAGAGAAGTTGGATGAAGGTGCCTACACCGTAGTAGTGAAGAACCCTGCTGGAGAGGATACAGCCACTGTCAATGTCAAAGTCATTGGTAAGCCATGTTCGGGGTCATAAAGAACATAATTATTATACAGGATTTATAAAGCGCCAACAGTTTGCACAGTGCTTTACAACATATGGAAGACATTACAAGTACAATACAATTCAGGACAAGATGGTAAGAAGGGCCCTGCCCCAGAGGGCTTACAATCTAAAAGGGAGGGGCCAGTGATACAGGAGGAGGTAGCTGATTAGGGATGAATTGTATGAGAATGTGATGGTTGAGTGGTTAGGTTGAGGTGGGATACGCTTCCCTGAAGAGATGAGTCTTCAGGGATCGCCTAAAGGTAGTCAGAGTGGGAGACAGACGAACAGGTTGGGGTAAAGATTTCCAGAGGATGGGAGAGACTCTAGAGAAGTCTTGGAGACAAGCATGGGAGGAGTTGACGAGGGTGCTGGAAAGCAGGAGTTCTTTGGAAGAGTGGAGGGGACAGTTAGGGTGATACGTTGAGACAAGGTTGGAGATATTGCCGGGGGCAGAGTTGTGGATGGCTTTGTAAGTCGTTAATATTTTGAACTTTGGCCAATTGGAAGCCAGTGCAGGGATCGGCAGAGGGGGGCGGGGGATGGAAGCCAGTGCAGGGATTGGCAGAGGGGGGTTGCAGACACTGAGCGGTTGGTTAGGTGAATGAGTCTAGCAGCAGCATTCATGATAGACTGAAGGGGGGAGGAGGCTGTGTAGAGGTACGCCAATGAGGAGGGAGTTGCAATAGTCAAGACGAGATATAACAAGTGACTGGATGAGTAATTTAGCGGTTTCATTGGTGAGGAAGGGGCGTATTTTGGAGATGTTACGAAGATGAAGGCGGCAGAATTTGGATAGTGATTGGATGTGGAGGACATGTGATGAGACATTTTGCTGGGGTTATGGATGAGAGAGAACATAGTGGGAAAAAAATGTAACTCCACTTCTGTTGAGAAAAAATCATCTGGGTGATCAATGTACATTGTAAGGATTTAAACAAACTTTGTTGTAGCTTCCTACCCTTTTCTGTTCTGAAGAAAAAGCTGTTCTGTTTCACAATCTCCTTTCCAGATTCCGAAATGGGAGGGTCTGCACTCATTATAATCACCCAGTCCAGTCTTAGGGGGTCTGTTTATAAACAATTTGCAGAGCCATTTGCCCTACGAATTTCTATGAACGTTTGTTTTGTGCAAATAGAAGCAAAAATTAGTATAATTTCTTTTCAGGTGAAATGCAATGTAATGTAATACTGCATGATGGCCCCTAGATGGAGCTGATGAGTATAGAAAATAAATATTTATTCCCCAAGCTCACCAGCTCCCTCTAGTGGCCATAATGGTGGTATTACATCATGTTACATTCCACCTGAAACTAAAATTTACTGGTTTTTGCTTTTATTCGCACAGAACAAAAGTTCACAGAGATTCGCAGGGCAAATGGCTCTGCAAATTGTCTATGAATAGACCTATTAGTGTTCTAATGAGGAAAGCTGCATCATCTGCACCCCTTTATTAGACAAGTCATATTGCAAGGGATGCCTAAAATTTTACTTATCTTAGTGCAGACTTCTGAGGAAATCTGTGGGCCATTCACAGAAGCAGAAAATTACATTTCTCTATGGTTGCGTACACCAGCGTTGTACAGAACACCTCCAGGTTGCATATAGCATTAAGTTTTTTGAAAGATTAAAGAAAATTACAGTGACTGTAAGTTAAAATGGAACATTGATTTTTACTAACATTTAATTACAGAACGAGTTGTGCTGTAATTCTATATGATGCATGTTATCAATGAAAGTAGAGTTTTCCTTTAAGGTCGACTCACCCATAAACCTGACCCCTTATACTAACCCCAAACCTAATGCAAAATGTAAACTTTCATCGCAATGCTAGCAGTAAAAATAGAATGAGGAAGAAAATACATTATTATTAGTAGAGAAGTATATTCCTTTATTACGCCATTGGTTTCACAGGGGGAGGACATTCTCATGCCATTACCTCTGTAGCCTTAAAATAGGCAAATACATGTTAACCATTGCAGTGAAGCTACCCCCAGACTGCAAGGGTTAACTGCTTGTTTTGCCTAGGGAGCTAAAATAAAGTTATACTCTCCTGAACCGGGATCCCAGCTTGCTCCTACACCGCTCCCTCTAGCCTGTATCCTCCTCCGCTCCAGTGATCCCAATGCAAGGGTTAACACTTAATATGCCTGGAGTTCTTCTATCAAAACTAAACTCCATGCAGATGTAAAAAAAAAGAAGCAGTTTTTTATTTATTAAAATATATATGTGTGTGTGTATATATATATATATATATATATATATAAATACCTGAATGTACCTGATCTCTGTTCAGCATCCCCTGTACAGCAGTGCTGGACTCGGAAGGGTAGGGGAAGCATTTGGGACCAATCAGGTGTCCTATTGTGCTGGCTAGGAACATGCTGATAATAGGAATGAGTAGAGAACTGGCCTCCACCGTCTGCTGCTTCTCCTTTACTGTCCTATCAAAGTCTCATTGTTGGGGTTTACATACATTTCATTGCCTTTTGTTGCACTAAAGTACTTTTGTATTCCTCAGATAACAAACTTTACATAGCTTTGTGTTGGGACAATGTTTTTCTGTCAGAATGCATCCTAGATACAAGATTTTTACCGATAATGGTCTCATTGCTTTTTCTTACAGAGGTCCCAGACCCCCCAGAATCCCCCAGGATATCTAACATTGGAGAGGACTTTTGTACTGCGCAGTGGGACATCCCCAAGTATGATGGAGGCATGCCGATTCTGGGTAAGGGAGGCACGACTGTCCGTATTACCTACAACGTCACAGCAGAATTTTATAACTCACCATTGAAAATACTGTAAAGTCCACGCTATCATTTCTCATTTTGGAGAGATTACTTCTCACTTCCTGTTGTATTCTTGGTTCTGGAAATGAGGCAAAATCTTTCAAACAGGGAATAGATTTGGAGCCCATTTACACAATGCGTTATTGTATGTTAAAGCTGGATTCTGAGCACAAAAACATTCATGTAAATACATTTGTTAATAGCCACAGAGAATATACTGTAAATCCACTTTGTGTGCACCCAATGCCTTTGCAAACCCAAAGAATACCTTGTGAAAGTAGCAGTGACATAATCACTGTGCTGTACATAACCTGTGCAGAGAGCAGAGCTGTGGGAGGGGCCCAGCAGGCCCCACCCACTACAGGCTGCCTACGTTAAAATCTGTGACCATGTGACCGGTCACACATTCCAACGTAGTCACAAACTTTGATAGAAGACCCACAGGAAATTACAGGAGGGGGCAGCGACAAGACCAGTCTGCCTGCACAAGGATAGAGAGAGCAGCAGTGACTGGTCTTTGTTACAGGAAGCTCCTGCACAGAGGTAAAGTTTCACAGATCTGGAAGAAATACACAAAGCTCACCAAGAATTAAAGAAGAATGCACAAGGCAGCCTAGTTATATTAGGGCTGGCAGGGCAGCTTAAAGCACCAAAAAACTGACCTGAGCCTTTTTTTTTTTCGAATGCAGCATACAAGACACGGTGTGTGTGCTGCAGTGTGCTGCAGTGCAGGTACCTTGCCCACAACTGCTATAGCGCATTGGGGTGCCACTCAACATTCAACATGAACGGCACTGCTACACATTGCATTTTATGTGCCCAAAGATGTCAATGGGTTGGTAGCCATCCCCTACTCTAGTCAAGACTTCAGAAATTCATTAACAAGCATAACCATTTTAATTCAATATTAAACAGGGGGTCCCACTCAAGGGGAAAAAAAGAGTAGTTGAATACAGGATTAATAAAGAATAAATAATTCCCAAGGGGTATCAAAACCCAAACTCAACATGAAACCCAAACTCAACATGAACCCCCATATTTTGCACACCTTGGGAATTGACCAAATACCAATTCTTAAAAAGATAACAGCTTGTATTTCACAATATTTTTATAACCTCTATTAAAGGAGAACTATGAGGTGAGTGCTTTTCACTCACCTCATAGTTCTAGCCGACCTGTGACAATGAGACTGTCACAGGTCGGCTCAGTAGATCGGCAGGTGAGCGAACACATACCGGGTTCGCTCGCAGGACGTGATCCGCTCCGGCTGCGGCGTCTCAGTATACCGCGAGCTGTAGCTCGCGGTATACTGAGCTTAGGGTAACGGGAGGACGCTAGTTTGTGTCCTCCCGTTACCCTAAGGAGAACTATGGGGAAAAACACTGACCCCATAGTTCTCCTTTAAAAACATTAACGAAATCCCAAACCTGCATGATGTCATTATATAACATATATCAAGGGCTCATAAATGTAAGCTGATAAATAACACTATCCCATCTCCATATATATTGTAACAGAAATCACCAGAAAAAAACTGTCTTGGATGTCCTGAAAATTTGTGAAAAACGAGCAAATGTATCACCTTGCTGAATATTATCTGTTTTCACGTAAATTTGAATGCAGCACATAGAACGTCAGGAGAGAGCAACATACACAAAGTAAGCATATGTAGCAGGCAAGTAGCTCAAAGCAGAGTAAGCAAAGGTAAAAGAAGACCTGCAGGCTGTACATGTATTGCTGCTCACGGATCGGGGCTGTGGCAGATCTTTTGCCTTTGATTACTCCGCTTTGAGCTACTTGCCTGCTATATATGCCTGCTTTGTGTATGTGGCTCTCTCCTGACTTTCTAGGTGCTGCATTCAAATTTACGTGAAAACAGATAATATTCAGAAATGTGATACATTTGCATGTATTTTTACAAATCTTTTGGACATCCAAGACAGTTTTTTTCCAGTGATTTCTGTTACAATATATATGGAAATGGGATAGTGTTATTTATCATCTTACATTTATGAGCCTTTGATATATGTTATATAATGACATCATTAGGGCCGGATTTACTCTCTCTGCTGCCCCAATGCCAGGTTCCCCAATGCGCCTCCCTATATGCAGGCTGCATACAAGTGATCTCTGCAACATCACCGAGATCACTTGTACAAAACAAGCGGCAGCTTCCCCGCTGTACATTTAGCCCTGCTTGCCCAAAGCAGGGCTAAATGTAGAAAACAACTACCCGCCAGGCGCCCAGAACTGCATGTCCCGGGCATCGGGAGATAGGAATTCCACACCCCTACTCCCTGTTGCCCCAAGGCATGGCCTCGGTTGGCCTTGTGGGAAATCTGGCCCTGAACATCATGCAGGTTTGGGATGTAATCAATGTTTTTAATCGAGGTTATAAAAGTATTGTGAAATAAAGGTTATCTTGTTTGATTATTTCATAGAACCATTTTAACCAGTGTTAATGAATCAAACAATGTGAAAATATAGACATGGCGGTTTCCCATATTTGCTTGCTGAATATGCACTAGTTATATTCTGCGTGAGTGTGTCCAAAAACAATGACTTACAGTAATTGATTCCATTGTTTAGATGTGTTGTTGTTGTCGTGTTGTTGACTATGTTGCTTGGCATAAGGTTAGCCACTAGAGGGAGAGCCAACTCAGCTCTGATATTCTGATATACAATCGGGGAAATATGAAACAGCAAGCATGCGAAATATGAATCACATTAGAACTTACTACCCAACAAACATTATGGTTACGATATTTCCAAATATGTATTTAATAAAAGCACACAATATTTTTAAAGTGATTTTGGATGTGATGTCTTCTGCTGCATTGTATGCATTTTGTTGGAGCGGTTCATATGTTGCAGAGAGATGATGTACTTTCCAGATCTTCACCAATTAGTGATGTTACTAACTGGCTCCCTCCACTGTCAGGTTACATCCTGGAGAGGAAGAAGAAGAAAAGCTACCGCTGGATGAGGCTTAACTATGACCTGGTGAAGGAACTGTCCTATGAATCTAAACGGATGATTGAGGGGGTCATCTATGAGATGCGTATCTATGCTGTCAATACCATCGGTATGTCTCGCCCCAGCCAGCCCTCGCAGCCATTCATGCCAATTGGTAAGTGATTCCAATTATTCTTCCCTTATGCAACACAAAGCGATAACTGATGCTGTGCAGCATTTTCATGCAACTGTGTATCTCAAGTGACCTCTCTAATATCTGATCTGCAAGTATACTGTTTGTGGGCAGTTTCTGATTGGACAGTTGCTGTTCTTTAACCCCTTCCTACATGCAATCTCTGCATGAACATTCCCAACCATGATGCCCTGTGCCGAGTATATGCTAATAAACAACCTACTTTTGAGTCACCAGGTAACACTTTGTGCGGCTGCTGGCTGTCGATCCTGGGTGTCATTGACAGCTGGGGTCTCATTGATGGATCAGGAACCAATTAAAGCTGATCAATATGATCACTATGTCTGCTCTGGTTTTCGGGGCAGGTGACCCACCATGGCTTTGCAATCTTGACTAAAAAATATAATCAAAAGTTTGATCACTTTACAGATTGCCTTGTGTATGGCCAGGAAAGCTGTATCACTCCAAGTAATCAGAGAAGACTTGTGGTTTTAATTTCATACAATTAATGGTTTTCTGCCATCTTGAAGCCCATCCCATGGCATCACTTATACCCCTCCCACCCCTCCCAATAGCTCCCAAATCACCCATTCAGCAATTTGTTTATAGTAAATACCTTATAGAGCTTTTTTATACGCACCACCATCCTTGTTCCTTGCTGGCACTGCTTCCGGGAGTCAGGACAAATCGATCCAGTGCTTCAGTACACCAGTTGCCTTTTGCCGATGTCATCAGCCTCTGCAGTCTACAAAGGGAGCCGTCACTGGAAAGCCAAAAAGAAATGTCCATGTCACCCAAGCCACCCAGAGGAGGACCCTCCTCCACTGCAAGGAAGAAGAGAGGACACTCAGGACCCACATGACTGCAGATTTATGTAGGCATTGCTGGCACTTATTTTTTTCAAACAAACCTAACGACTGGTTGGGGTAAGGCAGGGGTTTAGCTTTAATCAGTTGGAGTGGAAATATCAGCCAGGTGACAACTCTATCACATGGTAAGGTTGCCAAATTTTCAAAATGAAATCTGTGGACACCCTACTGACCACTCACACATTTAACCACACCCACACAATCACACCCCTATTATTAACATACCCTTAAACAATTGGTCACAGGCTTTTGTAAGAAGTAGATATTAAAGGTATAAAAACAAAATGCCTTGAGCACCCTACGTATAGAAAGGGTGCAGCGTGCATAGGATGCCATGGCAAATTGTGAGTGTGGCCAGATTGCATTAAAAATTGTACAGGACTTAACCGGGTATAGTTAAATAGAGCCTGAATCTACTTTCTTTTTGGTCAAGAGTAAGTAATGCACAGAATACAGGGGTCAGGAGTCCATAACACACAAAGTTCAGGGGTTAGGAGTGCGTAATGCACAAAATGCAACCAATAATAGATCTCCTTGCACTCGTATATCTATCACATACCATATCAATTATCACATATTAAGTTATAAAGCTATATCAATCCCAGCAGTCACAGAGGAAGGAGAAAGAGTCAGGCCTAACAATATTTGGGTGGTCATTGCAGAACCAACTGGGCCCTGCCCCCAACCCAGGCATTGGGGTTTGTCCCTCCAGAAGGCAGCACTTTTTTCTTCCGTATGACACTGCCGGCTTCTGTCACCGCCTGTCAGACCTGTAGAGAGAACCAAGTGAAGTGCTTTGAAACTGCTCGTTGGCTCTGTGCTACAGGTCTGACAGGCCACAGGCGGGCAATGACATCAACCATGTTTGCCAGAGACAGACCCCTCACAATGTGAACAGTCCCCAGCAAATGGGGACTAATGGTAGCCATATCACATAACCAGAAAAGGCAGACTCTATATTTATGACATCTTAGGTACCATGATTTATAAATAGCCCAGCCTGTAGTCTGTGCCTCATGGTGTGCCATCTACATGATGTTTACTGAAATACTTGAAGCACATTTGTCAAAGCAAACCTCCAAACAATGTCAGAACTGTCCATCATTTTTACTCTGGATGGAAAACCTCTGCGAATTCCTCACATGGTTTGTGTTTGCAGGAGGATCCGTCTCACATAACAGCGGGCAGTTATGGTAAATGAGGTTATCTAACCCTGTTGTAAATAACATGGATATTAGGATGCACTCAACTCAATGTGATGGTTAAAGCCTAAATCCAGCCAAAAAATCTCATTTTGGATAAAGTGGTAAAAAACACATTATTAGTAGAGTTGGAAAAGGTTAGAAGTTCTGACAATGTTTTTATCACTGTCTACTTTCTTATTCGGATACCTCTTCCCCTTTTTCTTGCATGGGTGTCATGGGAACAGGAAGTGAGGGAAAATCTGCCCAACACAGTTACAGTTGAACATAAAAATCTGAATTCTTCTCCACTTTATCCAAAGCTAAACAAATATCTGGGGTTAGGTTTTAGGAAACCTGCCTAGGTGTTTTTGACCTAATTGGGCACAAATTCCATCCCTGCAGGTGCCTATAGATGCTCTACCAACCAAAATTGAACAATTGAACACATTAGCTAAAAACCTGTTCCAGTTGTTGTTACCCACTAACAAGCAGCACTGTGCTCATAGCAAGATTCAGGACACTCTATAGAGTGGCAGCTGGTGCCCGGTGCTGGAGCAATCTGCCCCCAGCCCCTGCTTTAAAATGTGCCCCCCCTGTCACCTGTAATGCCCCCAGTCCTCTCTAGAATCCCCAGCTCCATACAGATACCTCCAGCCCCCTGCAGTTCCCTCTTGCCCTCTCTTATAACCTCCAGCTCCCATCAGCCACCCTCAGCTCTAGAGATCCCCAGCACCATCCATGCTCCCAAGCTCCACAAGTGTGTGTATGATTGGGTGGGGTTAGCACAAGGTAGCTAGCCTAGGGGAAAAAGAAGTATAAATCCAGCTCTGGGCATCTTCCTCCCTCTCCCTCCTCTCTCTATGGATAGGAATTGTCTACATATGCAAGGATACAAGTTTTGGGAACTCTCTACAGTGCATCCTAAATACATGTAACTGCTCTTTTAAAGGCAGTTACAGAATTAACCTTTTAACTGGGGCTACCCCCTCACTGCAAGGGTTAACTGTTTGTTTTGGTCTCGGGTTGTGGTCCTGCAGTGGTGACCACTTCTCTTCGCTCCGGGTGGGGAATGTCCCTTCAGGTCTAATAGACTGTATAGGTGTGATGATGTTGCATGTCGTTAGACCTCCAGAGCCTGAGGAAGAAAAGGCCGCAGGGACAAGCAGGCCGGACAAAGGATCAGGTGAGTATATCTTTTTTATTTGAGACCCCAGACCAAAATCTTCTTTAAATCTGTTGCAGTCCATAGAGCATGGAAATCCAGAATCTCAGCACCACGTTTAATGTGTCGCCCTTGCAGCTCGCACTATCCCACCAGTTCATACCATAACACTGTGTCCAAATAGAATGCAGACCATCACAAATTGCCACTGAAGTCCACATTCATGGACATTCTTCTGAATACCAAATGGATGCAGTAGTCCTTATAAGAGACACCAGGTCTATTGGGATATGTATTAATATATGCAGTTCAGAGAAGTACAGTGTTAAGGAAAAGGCTGTGGCAGCTACTCAGTGTCAGGAAAAGAAAACATAATACGACTGATGTCCATCAAGGTTACCCTCTCAGTCCTTGCAGTCTTGGTCCCCAGGAGGGCAGAAACAAAAGCCGCGGGGTAGCTGTTGCCAATTTTGACACATAGGAGGAAGATCAATACCTTCCGGAGCCCCCCGAGCAGTCAGATCAATTCCCTGGATCAAAATACTGCTACATTGGCTTTTACTAATTATAGGTTTGGATATTTTTAGTTGCAGTAAAAGCATCCATTTCTTTTCTAATGCCATTATTGTTTATACAACAACTACTTCACATAGTAAAGAATTCCTCAGATTAACCGCAACCTAAACTGGTTGTAAAAGCTTCTTTGTGAATCTATTGCATTTTGTGTTTTAGCCTGACGATGATAAGACTTTGCCCTACAATCAGCAGCAGCATTGTCAGCAGACACGTGCACAGCATTAAAATTAGTTTCGGACAAAACGAATGATAAAGGAAAAACCTTTTCATTGGTTTCATTTGATGAAACAAATAATTATGCTGTTTCGGATTTGGAGGCAACAAACCTCCGAACTTGAAAGCGCACATTTAAAAAACAGAATGAACAGCGGTCCTATTGGCCACCGGCATGTTCTGCGTATGATGTCCCATGACACCGACGTCATACGCATGTATGGGCGCCACCATCTTAGACATAGCAATATGGAGGTGTCCATATGAAACAAGCTACTATATGTCTGAATATATTCTTCGTATTTTCGGGCATAAAATAATAATTTATTTTTGATTCGGATGAATCGTTGAATCAACTGAATTTCACGATTCAGCAAGTTTGTCCGAATCCCAATGCACAACTCTAGTTGCCAGCCTGCCGCGTGGCAGCTGGGTGTTGGAATGCCTATCTGGTCTTCGCATGTCTCCTGTAGCCCCCCAAAAAATTGCCACAGAGCCACAAAAAAATATTTGCCTAAGAAAACAGCATACTATATTGCTTTTTTGACATCCTGATATTTTGATTGCTTTTGCAGCTGCCACTGCTTCTTAGTGTATTGTAACCCAGTATGCACAAGTCAGCTTAATCTAGTTTTTTTTACACATATACACACATTATACCATAATCATCGAATCCTCAAATCCTGAACCAAGTCCTCAAAAAAAATCTAAAACAATTATGAAACAGTATTTCTGTTAAAGTGACTCTGCCATGAGAAAAAATATGGGAGTTGCCATTGCTTGCCTCCTTTTGAAAATGCTAGTTGCCTACTTGTGTCTGACCTAAGAACTTTTGAGTTGCAAACCTGGAGCAAGCATGCTTTAAAAGAGTGATGAAATGTGGCAGAATTCCTCATCTCTGTACTTGTTTTGGGTCAGCGACAGAACAGCATTAAAGCCAATCCATCAGCAAGGAGGCCAACTAACTAGCATAAGCAA